AAAAAAAAAAAAAAAAATGCGCCATTTTATTGGTATATTTCTGTACTAAGATAGAAGTGGAAGGGTGGCCACCAGGGTACTTAGTGAGACATGAGGCTCATGGCACAGGGAGGAAGGAACTGTGAGCCATTCTGATCATACAAGGAGTAATGAGTCTACATCAGGTTATTTGGGGTATCCTTGTCTTACATAATAGGCTAAACATGGTGAGTTAGGCAGAGTAGCAAATGAGTCTACATTAGCAGAATGTGATTCTGACCACAGTCACTGGATATGATTCAGTGTGGAGGCAGCTTAGCATGGTGATTACAGTTACAGGCTCTGGAGTCTCAGTGTGAGACCCAATCCTGTTTCTATCACTTACTAGCTTTGTTGACCTTGAACACATTACTTTATTTCTGCGTTTTCATTTAGTTTCTCGTTAACAAAGTAAGGAACTTCATGAAATTACTGTATAAAATTGTTGTGAGCATTAAGTGGGTCAGTATATAAAGTACTTCATGTTTGCTGTCATCATTATTGTTTGGATCACCTGCTCTCCTTGTTTCAGTGGTTTAATCAAATGACTTAGATATGTTCCTAAACTCTGATATCACTTTCCTTTGAATCTGTTTGTTGCCTGTGGTGAAACTAAAATGAAGATGTTTCTGTACAGTCCAGAATGAAGAGAGTTATTTGCTTTCCTTCTCTCCATAGGTTGTTTTCTGCATGGACCGTGCCCTAGAATTTGCCCCTGCCTGCCATCGCTTCAAAATCCTCAAAGCAGAATGTTTAGCAATGCTAGGTCGTTATCCGGAAGCACAGTCTGTGGCCAGGTATGAAGTCGGGCCAGTTCGGCCTTGACACACCAGATACCACTGGACAGGTGCCGTCTGGCAGCTCTCTATAGCAGGAGCTACCATATGTCCTGTAGGTAGGCCAGCTTGGGCTGATCAGTCCTTTGCAGGTCATATGGTCTCTGTTGCAACTGTTCACCTCTGCCACTATAGTGCAGATGTGGCCATCGATGATAGATAAGTGGATGATGTGGGTAGGTTTCAATACAATTTTATTACATAAACAGTAGCAGGGAGGATTTGGTCCTGTGGGCTGTAATTTACCAACCACTGTTCTAATAAAGACTGAGACGCGTGAAGTGTATTAGAGATAAATATAGGTGGTTTATTTGGGGAAGGTATTGGGATCTGTCTACCTTTGGATACTTCCATACTAGACACATGGTCAGGAGAAAAACTGGCTATAGTAATCACAAATGTTAGCGTTGGTGGAGAGATCCAAACCACAGCTGAGCATGTCCCTTTACGGCTATTGCAGTGACATTCTACGAATGGATTCTACCAACGCAGATGCTCTGTACGTACGAGGTCTTTGCCTTTATTATGAAGATTGTATTGAGAAGGCGGTTCAGTTTTTTGTACAGGCTCTCAGGATGGCTCCTGACCATGAGAAGGCCTGCGTGGCTTGCAGAGTAAGTTCTAGGCCCCACATCTGAGTAGGAAAGAAAGCTTCCTTTTTGAGCCTTTAAGAAAGTCACAAATAGAAGATTCTAGGACCACATGAAATGTGAGCATGCTGGACATGCTTTTTCCACCTTGCCAGGATGCTTGGTCCTTTCCTTAGAAATTATTTCAGAACTACTTTTATTTGCCTAAAGGCAGATGTGATCATATATGATCCTCCTAATACTAGGTGTGTTTTTTTTTTTTTCTTCCCTCGGTAAAGAAAAAATAGTAATGCTTATTCTGGGAAGTGGAGGTAAACCCTGGGTGACACAGGTCTCTTTGGTATTCTCTTGTAAATCTTGGTTTCCCCTGTCCACTCCGTAGGAAGCACTAGTGAACAGCAAATAGCCTAGGTGGTGGGGTTGGAGGGGAGGGGGATAAGGATCTGTAAGATGCTAAACAACAGGGATCTGAGAAATTGAAAATAGACTCGGGCCTCTCTGTACGGTGGTCTGAGATTTCCTGGATGTGAACTAACCTCCCTTTGCTTTTCCCTGTAGAATGCCAAAGCACTTAAAGCAAAGAAAGAAGATGGGAATAAAGCATTTAAAGAAGGAAATTACAAGCTAGCCTATGAACTGTACACAGAAGCCCTGGGGATAGACCCTAACAATATAAAAACAAATGCTAAACTCTACTGTAATCGGGGTACGGTTAATTCCAAGGTAAGCACTTGGTCTGGGTCTTGGGGCCTATGGAGATATGTTTAAGGGGCATCTTGGGGAGCCTGCTTAATAAGGACAAGCCACACGAAAGGAGAATAGTGGTTTTGGTTGAGATCTCAGCTTGTTAGGAACTTCCTTTTGAGAAGCAAGCTTTTACCTTTTTCCTAGAATTTCAGGGCACTTGAGGGACAGCTGAGAAGGATATTCCTATCTGGTCTTCCTCAAAATCCCTTCCTTCCACTAAGGGAATGGCTAGAGGCTTTGGGATAATTTTTTAAGCAAATATTGTTGCTGCTTTTTGCTAAAGCAAGTGATTGTAGCTTTCTCGGGAGTGATTTGGAGGAAATTAGAGTATGAAGCAGGCTTAGTTTTTTTTGTCCAGCATGCTCAGCTGAAAATGGTCTGAGCGCCTGCTGCAGTGCTGCATACCATGAGAAACCAGAGCAAGTTCTTGCTCTTGTAGTGTTCCAGTGGTCAGAAATCAGTGATTCTTACTCCTGTAGTTAGCCTTTTGGAGAGTGGAGGGCAGGAACCACCCTTACTATTTCCATGTCGTGTTTGGGCACCACCCTGGAATGGCAGAGGTGGCTTATCCTTGCCCATAAGTGTGCCTGGCTTCCATCCCTTAGAAGAGAAACCAGTTTTGAACCCGGTGTCCGTAGCCCTCCGAGATACTGGAGGGCTTTCTCAGTGACCAGAAATGAGTGTGACAGGGGCCTGGTATGACTGATCCTCTTAGAATTGTGAAGCCGTGCTCACAGCTTCTGGGCTCCCTCAGTCACCGAAGGTGTGAAGTATGACTGCTCTCTCTCTCCTGAAGCTTAGGAAACTAGATGGTGCAATAGAAGACTGCACAAATGCAGTGAAGCTCGATGACACTTATATAAAAGCCTACTTGAGAAGAGCTCAGTGGTAAGTGGTGCTGGAGGGTGAGGGGAAGAGGGAGTTGCTGCCGGCCTGCCAGGGGGATTGCGTTATGGATGCTGAAGCAGCCCCAGGGATGTTGTGAGGTCATTTGGTCCTTCCCCCTGCCTCTAGGTGGGATTGTTCCAGCCCTAGACTCTCTTTATAGACCTCCAGCCGAGGAGATTGCACAGCTCCCTCAGTCTCCCATGCCTGTGTCTTACGCCCCTCACGGTCAGTAAGTTTCCTCTGATGCCTGACCCAAATTCCTTTTGTTAAAGTTTAAATCCATTTCCTTTGGAGATTGTATTTTGTATTGTACACTTTTGCTCTAACTTGGCACAGTGCTTGGCACACAGTAGGTGCTCACTCAATAAATGTTTTGTTGAATGAATGTATGTTGCTTGAAAGAGGAAGACAGAGACAGTTGAGAGTTCTGCTTCTCCTGTTTGTTCCGGGTTACAGAAGACAGAAAGGAGTTTAAGCTGGCTCAGCCTCCCAGCAGTATAAGGAAACCCTTTTTGAAATACCTCTGTGACTTGGAGACTTACGAGCCAGGATGTGCCTGCCTAGATCTAGTGCCCGGATTCGCCTTCAGAATCGGGGTGCTCCCCAGCTTACATGTCCTTCTTACTCTTGGACCCACCAGACTCTTTTCTGCAGACAGGAACCTTAGCAAGGGCTAGGAGAGACCTCCCCCAAATCCATTTCTTCTTATTTCAGATTATTTCCCAGACAGAGAAGAACAATTCTATCTTAAAATTCCAGAAGGAAGACCTATTTGTTGTATACTAATTCTCCAGCATTCGTTCATTCCGTTCCTTGTCCTGAAATGTCACATCCAAAGAGGTGCTGCTACTGATGCCTGATGAGCCCTTCATTCTTCAAGCTCCTCAGTCTCATTGGTGCAGGGTGTGGCCTGCCTCCCTTTTAGTTTTCCCAAAATGATCCACTTTTTTTGAAAACAGGAAAAGTGCTTCTGTATGTGGTGCTTTTTTTTTTCCAAGTGGATTTCTAAGTAGATGAGTAAGTCTATCAAACAGAAACATACACAGAATTGTATTATAGATCCTGAAACTAGTTGTCTATCATCTCATGTTTGCAAACTGCTGGCAGGCAAACATGGAAGCTTTGGAAGACAGCAAGTACCCTATGATCCAGCTGAAGACTAATGTTAACAGATCCAGAATGCTATGTGCACGTTTACTGTGATGTTATCTGAAAGAGCAAACAAGGAGAATCCCCTAAGCGTCTAGTGGGGCGGGGGTGGCTATATATATGACACTGTGTCAACTCAGTGGATACTCTGCTGTGTTTGAACAGAGAATGGGGAGAGAATATTCTTGGTTTGTTAGCAAGATAAAGGGGTGGACAATTCTATCTTGATATGTGTTCAATAAAGAAAAATCAAATGGCTTTAATCAGACAACTGACAGCTTATCTTTGTGGTAGAAACAGAACTGTCCTCTGAGTGGCTCTGCCTTTGAGATCCCACCACGGGCCACAGCGTGCACTTTGGGGCACAGTTGGCCAAGAACTTGGCAAACAGTCCCCTCAAGCAGCTGGGACTGACATGAAGTAGTGGAGATTAGTTCAGGCCAAACCCTTACCAGAGTCCTGACTGCTACCTCAACTTATCCCTAAAGACGGGGAGATGCCAGATTTCTGCTACATCTCCCATCATGCATTGCAGTTTCCCATTTTCCCTAAAGCTCTACTTCTCTGCATTTTCTTCAACTTAAAAAAAAAATACTTTTTAAAAAATAGATGTATAGTTTTCATACAGTGTTGTAATGTTTCAGGTGTATGACAATAGAAAAAAAATTTAAATGGAAAGATGTCCTTGAATTTAAAAAACACGTTAAGTAAAAATGTAAATCATTGTAATAACAAGCTTGTTTAATACATTCCAAAAGGGCATTGAAAGTTCATTAAGGTTACTTATTTGACAGATCATTCTACACCTGGGACCATCAGCTTATATTACTCTTCATGCTGTAAATGGGTTCTCTGAGCTCCTGGTAACATTTGTGCCCAGTGTCCACAGGGCACTGGTTTTTGTCACCATTGTTTAATTAAAATTGTAAATCAAGATGTTGCCAGAAAATCAGAGATGCCTAAGAAGTTGGGCTCTGTCTTGCCAGCCACATCAGCAGCACCCCTCTGCTCTGGCCTCTAAGCCCCCCGGGGCTCTGATGTTTGCACAGATGGGATGTGTGGTGGCAGTGTAGTAAACTTGGTCTTTGTTGGGCAGCAGCTAGCTGTGCCGCACAGTCACTCCTGCTCCCCAGCCGATGGGGTCTGTCTCTGGAACTCCTACACAGTCTGTTTAATCGGTAGGCCAGTCTTGGCACCAGTGATCTCTTCGGGACATGGAAAATGCCACTTTGCTTCTGTGGAAAAGAAGGTCTTAACAGGTCTGGCAATCAGCCTTTCAGGCTAGATTCCGCCCATCTTGGGGCAGCCCCCCCCCTTTCTTCTACACTCCTGAAATAAAAGCAAGCCTGCGTTTAGAGTCTCCTTTTTCTCTCACTTACCTCCATCTCTCAGATTGATTAGTCTTAGTGGAGGCATTTGCCAGCAGCCACCATCTTGAACTTGATCCTTCTAGTGGCTCACTAATCCCACTTGTACTCTGGATTGGAGCTGGCCCTGCATGTTTATGGCACTGCAGGTTTCAAAGCTTTTCCATATTCACCGCTCTCACTTCATGATCTTTTTCTCTTGCATTTTAATCCCAAGTAATCAGTCAAGTAGGAGCCTTCACATTGCCTTGTCCTGTGGCAATCCAGATGCCTTTTGGTGGCTCTGAAATCAGAAGGAACTTTCTCCCCTTAGTTGCTTTCTGCTCAAAGCAGAGTATCACTTCGCTGGTTGGGTGCAAGTGGCATGAGACCTGTCTCTTTTTACTTCAGGAACTGGTAGTTAATTTTTTCTCACAGCTAGCTTAAGGATTCCTGTTTCATGAAGCATCTCAACCGAAAGTGTGTGTCTCTTGCTTGAGCCGTGCCTCTTCTCCCAGAGTGATACTGAAGGTGATTGCTATTTATGTTGATGGACCGCCCTGTATTTCCTTTTCAGTTACATGGACACAGAACAGTATGAGGAAGCAGTGCGGGACTATGAAAAAGTGTATCAGACGGAGAAAACAAAAGGTAAAGGTGTTTGAGAGCCTGTTTCTCAGGGAAATGTGAGGTCTTACTCATAGGCCCTAAAACTGGACATAGGAGTAGTTTGATTCACAGATCAGGGACATACCTGGGGCTTATTTGATCACCAGCCAGGAAGAAATTAACAGAGACCCCAAGTGCAGGACAAGGCACTTATTTTCTGGCCCTATATCCTATCGCTTTTACTTCCTTTTATGTGTAATGAGGCTGATGTACAGAACCGAAGTACGAGTAAATTTGTTTTTTAATATTCAGAAAGAAAACACCATAAAAGCACCTGGTATGTATGGTTAACAAGGCTTCTGACTTCAAGGCGTCTGGGTTAGTAAGGGAAACCAGAGTCAGATTTGTCCATTGACTCTAGATGTCTCCTTCTAGAACACAAACAGCTCCTAAAAAATGCACAGCTGGAACTGAAGAAGAGTAAGAGGAAAGATTACTACAAAATTCTGGGCGTGGACAAGAATGCCTCTGAGGATGAGATCAAAAAAGCTTACCGGAAACGGGCCTTGATGCACCATCCAGGTAGAGTGGGTGTGAGGAGGGGACTTGGTGGGAAGAACGAACCAGGAGGGCCCTGCTGCACTCGGTCCAGAAAGTTCCCAGCTCTTGGGGCGCCTGGGTGGCTTAGTTGATGGGGCATCTGACTCTTGATTTCGGCTTAGGTCGTGATCTTGCGGTTCATGGAATTGAGCCCCGCCTCAAGCTCCAGTCTGACAGCACGGAGCCTGCTTAGGATCCTCTCTCTCCCCCCTCTGCCTCTACCCTGTGCTCACCTGCTCTCTCTTTCCCCCTCTCCCTCCCTCTTTCTCTGAAAATAAATAAACTTTTGAAAGGAAGAAAGTTTCTGGCCCTTCAGCTGATAGGTAATAAGGTGTTGCTAAGTTCCATACCCTCCAAATTTTGGAAGTACCAAATTCTAAAATTGGACATAAAGTGGTCTTTCTCTTCAACTTTTATTTTCTTGTGACCCTGAGTTCTTCCTATACTCCTCCCTTTAGATCGGCACAGTGGAGCCAGTGCCGAAGTTCAGAAGGAGGAGGAGAAAAAGTTCAAGGAAGTTGGAGAAGCTTTTACCATCCTCTCTGATCCCAAAAAAAAGACTCGCTATGACAGTGGACAGGACCTGGATGAGGAGGGCATGAATATGGGTGGTGAGTTGGTTGGGGCAGCCTGGGACGAACCTGACCAGTGTGGATCTTTAGAATTTTTCTTAAGACACTCCAACGGGGAGTCTATATAGTAGCTAGTGATGCGTAGTGATTTGTAAGGCACACCCCAGATAAATACCTGTAACGTGTGAGGCACTGTGATGGGTGCTGGAAATAACAAAGGTGAATCAAACAGGTTCCCTGTGCTCTGAGAACCCAGTCTAGGGCTTTGCAAACTGGCCCACAAGCCACTTCTGACCTCTGACCCCTGGATGTGAAATCCCAACAAGTACAGTCAAATGTAGTGGGTGCCCAGGGTGCAGAGGACATAAGCACTAGCAAGGGAAGGCTTGGAAGTGCAGAAATAATACCGCTGGGGAGCTGTAAGGGGCTGAATGTAGAAGAATAGAGGGTGTTTGAGGCAGGGGGTGCTAAGGCATGAAGCCCCAGAGTAGCTGGATCCCCCTGCAGGGGCTAGAGTAGGCAATATGGGTTTTTTTCCTGTTGGTTAGAAGTTTCCCCCACTGTTGAAGGATCCTAAGTAGGGGAACTATGAACCAGAGTTAGGTGGCAGAATATTTGTGGTGTCGGTGAGGAGAGGCGCTTTGGTGCGGTGAAGGGGGAGAGAATCGGAGGGCACAGTGGGAGGGCAGGGCTTGATTCCTGTCTGTGTTGGAAGAGGGGAAGGATGAACTTGAGTGGCTTTGGACGGCTGACTGGATGGAGCCATTACCTGAGCTAGGGGGCCCAAGATGAGCAGATACAGAGAGGCAAGGAAGAATTTGCATCTGGATACAATGTGCCTGCTGGATCAACTGATGGAGATGCGTCCTCTGTGGGCTTTAGCAACGGAGGCGCAGGTAGGGGCAGCAGACCTGCTGTGGCCTGGTGATGATGGCACAGTACTGGAGTCAGGCAGGAGTTGGAATGTTCAGTTCTGTTGCCTTCACTGGCCACGTGATCTTGAGCAAGTTACTTGAGCTCCTACCTGGTTTTGTTGAGTATAAACTGGGGATGATGTAAGGCATGCAGAGTACCGAGCACCACGACTGGCACCTAGTAGGTGCTTCATAAGCCATGGCGCTTTTTTTCTGGCATTTAGTCTAGACAGCATGGAATCAAATGAATACAATAAATCTTAGAACTTACTCTTACATTTAGTGTTGGTAGCACTGAAGTGATAGATTTTAGCCTTTTCAGTAGCAGCCCAGCATTATAGAGAGACAGTGTGAGGAAAGTCTTATGTAAGTGCAAATGGCATCCCACTTGTTGTGAAGAAGGTCCAGCAAAGTAGGTGGAGGTGAAGAAAGCTTTCCTTCAGGTTTGCGCTGGGAAGGAGTAGGGAACATGTCCCAGGAGTGGGATTAGGCATGGGGGGTGGGGATACGTGTGCCCACCCCCATCAATGACTTTAGGGAAAGGAGGTGAGGGGTGTGTCTGGGAAAGCTTGGGGGCCCATCTGCCATGTCATCCTAAGTTCCTTTTCAGACAGGTCTAACTTGTTCACCTTTTGCCCCTTCCCTGTTTCTCACTTTGCTGCACAGATTTTGACGCAAACAATATCTTCAAGGCATTCTTTGGCGGTCCTGGGGGCTTCAGCTTTGAAGGTGGGTATGCCCGCTGCTCTTGGGAGCTTCCAGATCACAGGCCCATAATGCAGCTCCCCGCTATGGGAGAGTCAGGGGGGCCCTTAAGTAGAGGTGACAGAACCCCCATCCAGCAGGGTACCGATCCACACAGGTGCTGCTGAGGATGGCGGTAGGGAAGTTCCTGGGTGCACCATGCCTCGGGACCATTGGTGCCACACCTCTGCAGGGCCAGGGAGGCGTTCACGCAGTCTAGTACCAGGGCCTCTCCAAGAGTGAAGGTTAGAAGCTGCACAGACAGCTGCTCACCTGCTCCCCTTATACCCCCAGGCCCAGGCTGTTGATTGACTTGGCAGCTTTTCTGTTTGAACTTGAAGCAGCCCTTGAAGACTTTCCCATAATCAGAGCAAAGTGATCTTCCCACACAGATTCAACTAACAAGCCCTTCTTTTCCCTTACAGCATCTGGTCCAGGGAATTTCTTTTTTCAATTCGGCTAAGGAGAGGAAAGCATCCAGAACCCAGAAAGTGGAGACTTGCTCAATGTAACCTTGAACGTGGGCACAGTTCACCTCCTCCCTTCATCTCATCTCCCCATCCTTAGAGCAGTTTCGTTTTCTTAGTTGGATGCCCTGTGTCTGTGTGAGTGGGGGGAAGGAGAGGGAGCCAGCGCCGAAGACTGCGGGGAGGGGAGGGAGGCGGGGGGTGGACAGGGAGGCAGCTTGTGAATTTTTGTTTTACTGTTTAACTTTATTAAAAAAGAAAAAAAAATTAAGAGAATAAAATGTTTTGACCCTTTCTGGCACTTTGCTCTGGCAGCTGCTTTGTGTCACTTCAGACTCGGTGGGCCAGAAGCTGAGCCCCCAGCACGGAGCTGGTGCTGGCATGGATTTTAGGCTCAGCAAGCTGCCCCACAGGGGATGTGGACACCTAGGGCCTGATGGCAATGGGATGCTGGCCGCCTCTCCCAAACCTGTTGAGCATGTGAGTACCCAGCAGGCCCTGAGTATGTTGTTGGGCCCAGCCTGATGTCAGTCATGGGGAAGTTGAGTTCAGAGAACGGGTTTATTTGATGTAAGGGCCACCACAAATCACCAGAGGCTGTGTGTGTCCAGAGCTCACATGGAACGTGGCTGGGCTGACCCAGACCCCCTTGCTGTCCTATTGCCAGTGTAGGCTAAGGGAGCTGGGGACCAGGACAAAATCCTGGCCTCCCTGACCCCCAGGCCCATTCCAGGTGGGACGTGCAGCTCCTGGGGCACAGACGTTAAACTCACACGCTTAGAGACAGCATTCTTAGCATATACTCCTCACTTTCTCCACTGGTGTCCCTTTCTGTGTGGGAGGCAAACTGGGGAAGGAAACAGTGGTCAGGGTCCTGCTATCCGGGTCAAGTTTAGTGTTTGTTGCAAGTAATCTTTCTAGGAGTTCCAGGCAGAGACACTTGAGACTTTGGCTGAAGCTTAGACTTTTGGTGCTTCGGTAGTAGCGATGGCTGGGGAAAGACTGTGGACCAAACAGGTAACTTACGCTTCTCTTCCTTCTGAGCCCCTGCCCCTCTCTTTCCAGTCTTCCCCCTTTGTCGCCGAGGCCATGGTGACAGGATGCCCGAGGTAGGCCTGATAAGCTCCTACTGGCCTGTACAAAACTCCTCAGTGTCAGGTGTTGCCTTGTGTTTAAGGGTGGCCCGTTCCTAGAGGACTGAGGGACCCAGGCTAGGGACCGTGGGTCTTGCTGGGAAGGCCCTCTCCTTGCTTTGGGCTGGCACACCTGTGGGCCCACTGCTGCAGTCAGTGGGGGAGACAGGCTCCACTCCACGTCTCTCAGACCCAGGCAGCCCCCACTTTCTGTGCCCATCTAAGATCAGCCTCTCTCCGTTCTGCCTCCTCATGAAAGCCAACACTGTTCAGCTGCCCAGCCTCACCACAGCTGTGCCCGGCCAGCAGAGGGGAGACAGGACCGATGGCCCCACGCTGCGGGACAAAGCCAGTCCTGATACGCCAACCCCGGCCCCAGGGAGGCCTGAGCTGGGCACAGAAGGGGTGAGAGAGACTGCACGCGGCCAGGATTAACACGGTTTATTTCACTGTCAGTCTTACAAGTCACTGAGGTTGGGCAAAGCCAGGATAGTAACTCGAGCACTTTCGTCCAGTAACAACTCAATGAGCAAGGCCCTATTACTGAGCAGGGGGCAGCAGAGGGCACCCCAGGAACCGCAGCACAGGCACCGATGTTCCAAACCCCTTCCCGGAGGCACCAGGCAGGGCTTGGCCCTTAACAGCCAGGCGTCCACCCCACTGGCTCTTGGTCCCCACCAACTGACGCCCTTTGGAGGAGGCACACGGGCCTGCAGAGGCATTAAGGAGGCAAGTTGGGCTGGGCAGACGGCAAGATTGGAGCTTCCCCACCGAGGTACTTTCTCTGGCTTTGATCTCCCCATCCCCACAGCAGAGCCACACCGCTGGAAAGGATGGCCAGCCCGTCCCCATCCCAGGAAGGGGGAAGCCCTGTGGCCATCCGGGAGTGGCTGTTGCTTACTGTTCTCTTTTCTCCCCTACTTATCCAACTGTTCCCTAGTTACAGTGTGGAGGAGGAGAGGACAGGCACTTAGAGCCAAAGGTGGGACGTACACCCCTTTTTCTACTCTGGTAAAAAGCCCCAGACTTCCTGGGGCTGCAATGATTTAAGATCCAGGGTCTAAGCCCAGGGATTCCCCCCCACCCTGAATCCATCGCCGGTTTCCCACAGCCGCAGTGACCGCCCTCTGGGTACCTGCAGCTCTGAGGTGACCCCCTCCACCCCGCTGGCCAGCTCTGGGCAGGGGCAGGGGAACCAGTAACAGGCAGCTGGGCTTGGGGTTGTGGCTGCAGTTCCAGGCCCAGCTTGGCTCAGCCTGGGCAGCTTTGCTCTGGGTTCCTGAATGGTGCCTCCTACCCCACCTTGTGTTGAAAGCTTGGGCATTAGCGGGGACGAGGGTGGGCAAGAAAAGTTACAAGTTTTTAAAAAGTTACAAGAAGGTTAACTTTGAGTAAAAAAAAAAAAAAAAAAAAAAAAAAAAAAAAAAAAAAAAAAGATGAAGGAGAAGGCATGCTTCCCTCTCCCCGCTCTCCCTGTAAGGAGCAAGGGGCTGACCGCAGCAAGGACACTCAGATGACGGTGCAGGACTGGAAGGCACCCCCCTTGCGGCTGCCGTGCGTGGGCACAGGTTTGCCCTTCCCGTAGTACCCCGTGAAGATGGCCCTGACCTCCATCTTCTTGGCCAGGCTCAGCAGCCAACGCCCGCTGCCCAAGGAGTAGAGTTTGCCCCGGTGTAGCTCACCCACCTCCTCACCTCGGCTGCCCCCCTTCTCCTGCCGCACAATCTCCAGGAGGTCAATGCCCGTCTGCACGGCCTCCACGTCCCCCGCGCAGCCGAGGGTGATGTGAGCACGGCTGCCCCGGGGCAGGCTGTCAGAGGGGGACAGCTTGTCCACGTCATTTGGCCACAGCGGCAGCTCCTGCTCGCTCAGCTCCACCCGGGCTCCGGCAGTCTTGGGCGTCACGAAGAGGGCAGTGACGGTCAGTGTGAAGGCCTTGCCGTAGGATTTCTTCACCACCTGTGGGGAGAGGACGACAGCTAAGCTGGAGGTGGTGGCCCCTGCGGTGGACAGCTGACCAAGGATGGACCTGACAGAGGTGAGCACGAGGCAGCCGAGCCCTGGGGGGAAAGCCGCACGCAGCCCGTGTGTTCCAGGAGGACATCTTTCTACGGACACCGTTCAGGCTAATGTGACAAAGCCAAGGTACCAGAGGTGCCAGACATGGGCGGAGTTGGAAGCCAGACTCCCTGAACTCAGCCATCCCCCTGCCCCTGCCCACCAGCTGCAGGGCCCCGAGCAAGCTGTTTAACCTTGCTGTGTTGGCTTATTCACCTGTAAAACAGGGATACTAGAACCTACCTCGGTGCCTGGATTAAAGGAGTATCTGGGTGAAGACTCTAGAAGAGTAACAGGCATGTGACAAGTGCCAATGCCATTCAGTTCATCCTGGTAATAAGCCACCCTGGTACCCAGGCAATATCCCAGAGGACAGGGTGGGGCCAGAAGTCAATGCCTTCAACCAGAATCTACCCCGTACACCTTGGTTTACATCTGATTACATGTCTGGTTATATCTGATTCTCTGAAAAAGGCCATCTTTCCCGACTGACCATAAACACGTCTCCACTTTTGCTCACAATCCCTTGTGTCTAGCACAGAACAGGTGCTTAATAAATACCGTTACACGCATGAGTGGTTGGGATGGTAGTGGACAATGTTACGTATTCGTTCATGCAGCTGTGCTAGGTGCCAAGAACACTACCACAAACCAAAGTAAAGAATGCAAGTTGGGGAGACCAATAAACAGGAAGATGGCTGCCGCGTCAACCTAGGCAGACGAGCAGGGGAGACACCGGGGAGGCTGGAGACAGCAGCGTGCGGCCGGGCGACACCTGCTGCGTAAGGACCACACTGCAGAGGCTGGGGGCGGCAGCAGAGCGGGAGGGAGGGGTCTGGCACCTCAAAGCCAACAAGCCTCGCTATCCCTCCATGTGCCCTACTCCAGGGCAAGACCGGGCCTAGGACCCGGGGACAGGGACGTCAGAGTACCAGGCTCCCTGGGGGCAGGGGACACCTGGCCTTCGGGATTCCACACAAGCTTAGGCCAGAGCACAAGTCTGCTGCCGGGCATCAAAAGTAAAATGCTCTGGTGGGCGGGCCTTCGGGGTGAATGCACAGGCCAGTGGCATACTGGGCAGGAGGGTGCTCCCCAGAAAGGGTAGGTGACATCTGTGTGACTAAGCCTGTGGAGGGGTGAAGGGAGCAGGAGATGCCATTTCTTCTGAGAGGCTGTCTGGTTTCTGGTCCCTGCCTTGAGCCGGCACCCATCTCCAGGAGACCCTGCCCTCTCCCCACCTCAGCTGGGTGTCCCTGGGGGGCACTCACATCCTGCTGGGCATACTCTTCTGCCCCAGCAGCCTTCCCGTAGTCACAGAACTTGGTTGTGCAGTGCAGCACGCCTGGGGGTCTCTTCCCAAAGTAGGTGACCAGTTCAATCTTCTCCCTGGGCTCATCCCCAGAGACAACTGCAGGGAGAGAGAGTGGGGCAGTCAGGGCAGGAGAGCAGGGGCCATCCCGACATCTGTCACCACAGCCATGGAGGCTCAAGAGGAAAAAAAAAACAAAAAAACTGGAGATCAAACAAGTTCCTCAATAATCCACGATAATTCACTCATTTACTAGGTGGTCAAACAGCCACGCCAGAGCTACAAAAAGGTGTCTAAATTCCCTGACTTCACGTTAGTTATGCAGATTTTTATAGCTCTTTTCCAGATTTGAAAACTAAGGCACTTATAACCCAGGGACAGGCAGCAGAGGCCAAGGGAATCGGCTTCAGCAGCTACACGTCTGAAAGAGGGAAGCAAGTCATGAAAAATAGGGTAGAGAGGCAAAGGAGTGTTGGAACTGTGCGGCACGACAGAAGGAGTCGGAGCATAATTAATATCCCAGCCCACTCACAAGCCCTTCGGCCTGGGGCAAGTGATCGACCCTTATCTGTCTTTATTAAGTACCATCAGGGTGACTATACACCCATTTTCCCAGGGTCACTCTGAGTCGTGCCCCACTGCACTTGGAGCTTCCTGGACAAGAAGTTACCTGGTCACCAGAGCAT